GCCACAAGTGAACACAAGAATCATGTATGGGAACACTAGCACACTTCGCCTGTGCTGTCTCGTCGTCTCCCTTACCCTCCAGAGGTGTCTCCAGAACAAAGAGGTTGTTCTGACATGCAACACTGACCAGTTGTCTCCCACCCCTGGAAATGGAACAGACGTCATTTTCAAAGCAAACCTTATAACCCTCCTTTACAAGAGCAGGTACAGATAAAAGACAACAATGCATCTCTGGCACAACGTAGACTTCCAGCTCCGCCTGTAAAAAAGGAACAAACACATTTCCCACGTTAGATAAAGGCCTCTGTGATCCATCAGCAAAAACAACAGTTTTCCCAGTTGAAACAGCTCTGCAGTTCTGCATTTCGCCACTAGGTGGCGCTGGCATCAGGTGATGGCTGGCTCCTGAGTCAATGACCCAACGCAGCATTGTGCCCTCACTGGAGTTGTCCCGTAGCGTTGCCATGGAGGCAGCTAGGTGATAAGAACCGTCTTCACTTCCTGAGTCATGTCCTCCCTTCGCTTTCCCACGCTGGCCTCCTCTCCTGGACTGGCTGCCATGGGAAACGACCTTGGAGACATCCTGCCCGGCCTCTCTGGCTCTCTGTGGACAGGATCGACGCAGATGGTTGACTGACCCACAGACAAAACATCGACGAATGGAAAAAGCCTGAACTGTGTCTTCTGCTGGCCTGGCCCCCCTCTCTTACAACCTGCAGGGCTCTCTGTGCCAGCTCGGCTCTCTCTGACACGGCATTCCTGTTCGTCACACAAGCGTCCAGTCACATACTGCAGCATAAGATCTGCAGGATTCATCGACTCCAAAGTTAGACACAAATTGTCATAACTTTTGTCCAAAGAGCTGAGCAAAATATAAACTTTCAGTTCCTCAGAAAAGTTAACTTGCAACAGCCTCAGCTGGTTGAAAACAGAGAGCATCTCAGTCACATGCTGTCTGATGCTGTCACCTGGACGCAGCTTCATCTCAAACAAGCGTCTAGTGGTGTGGATCTTTGCCCCAGCTGTGGTCCTGTGGTGCACTCTCTCTAGTGCCTGGTAGGCCTCATCTTGCCTCTCCCCTTCGGATGCAGCCACTTCTCGGCCCTTGCTTCCCACTCCAGCTCCACAAGCTTCTTTGAGTGCTAGCCAAGCGGCCTCTGGCCTTCTTGCACCCAGGACAACAGGCACCAGATGAGCATCCACATTCTCTGCTAAAAAAGCAAGCACACGCTTCTCAACTTCACTTTGCTCTGCAGCTCTCTTAGCCTCTGCTTTAAAGCTCCACTGCAGCCAATTTTGGCTATCCAGTTTCTGACATGGCAGCTTAAGCTCAAAGCCATGTTCTTGGGGCTGAGCCATTTGCCTTCCTCCCTGGGGCTGAGCCTACTCACGTAACAGCCGCTCCTCCTGGCACCTGGTCCTGGAGATGAGATCCTCCCCAGCGAGCTCCGCAGCCTCAAATGTTAGGCAGGACTCCAGCTGGCTCCCACACACACCAGCACGACGTGGCAACAGCTTCCAAAGCTTGGCTGACTTCCCATAACCTGCGGGTTTATGATGGCGTCCGGCACATTCTGCTGCGCGCCACTGCGCTCCTGTGCCTAGCTCTCTCTCAGCTTCACTTCAGCAGAGTCTCCGCAGCGGTAGAAACTGTTGCAATGTGTGGGTAATAAATCAGACTGTACGCAGGCTTGTTGCTTATCTCCAACAGTCTTTAATCGTGGTAGCAAAACATCTTAAATCATCCCGGTGAAAGAGCACACATCTTTCGCCTCTCGGTCAAAACCGAAAGAAGACTCACACACATAGAGCATTCCCGTATGTGAACATAACCACACCTCAGAATGTGAGACGTCACTCAGAACTGTTTAACCCTGTAAGTTCTGATTCTCTTCACAATGCTGACCTTATATCCCTTCCCAGCTCTTGCCACCAGGTGCTGTGAGATACCAATGGGCCTCACCTGTGAGGCCGCGCCTTGCCTCTTCAGAATAAACTTAGAAATGTCCCAGTCCTACAAAGTCCTATTGGTCACAGGGCCTGGCTCCTGCACACACACCTGGCAATTATTATTATTATTATTATTATTATTATTATTATTATTATTATTATTCCCCGCCCATCTGACTGGATTTCGCAGCCTCTTGAGTGTGACTATGAGAGGTATCATTATTTACAATCAAGTGCTATATAAATTTCACAATATACAAAAATTAATAACGTGTCTACATAATGAAGGACACCCAGGGCCTAACCACCAGAATTAGTGGGAATGAGAGTCGTCAACTTCCCCTATCTACTAGGGTCAAAGCACACATTAGCAAAAAGATCAGAAGCTTTCTCCCCTCCAGAAATGTAGACACACCAGAAAATCAACTTAACAAATGCTTGGATAAGTGTCTCTATGCAAAAGCAAGCCTCATTTGCGTTCAGTAGGGCTTATTCTCTATAGCTGTCAACTTTTCCCTTTTCTTGCGAGGAATCCTATTCAGAATAAGGGAATTTCCCGTTAAAAAGGGAAACGTTGACAGTTATGTTACTCGCCCAAAGTGTGGATAGGATTACAGCCTTAGAAACTTGCATTCTATCCTCTGAAGAGTACATTATTTACCTGCCAGTAACAAGTACACACCCATTAAATATAAGCTATCTACATCCTGTAATCATTTGATGGCTAGTGGCTATTTTATCATGTTGAACGCTATAGTTGATACTCATTCAGATGATAAATGCACTCAGAAGTATAGGGAAATGCCTCATACCAAGCCAGACCATTGGTCCATCCAGGCCAGCACAATCAATACTGACAGGCAGTGACTCTCCCGCGTTGAAGGTATGATTACTTTTCCTCTGTCCCCACCTTGAGATGCTGAGGAAAGAACCTTGGATCTTTCTTTTCTGCAATGCCTGATTAAAGCATAGAATCACAGAACTGTAGTGTTGGAATGGATCCCAAGGGTCATCTTGCCTAACCCCCTGCAATGCTGGAATCTTAGCTAAAGCATCCATGGAAGATGACCATCCAACCTCTTCTTTAAAACCTCGAAGGAAGGAGAGTCCACAACCTGCCAAGGGAGTCTGTTCCAATGTCAAACAGTTCTTACTGTCAGAAAGTTCTTTCTGATGTTTAGTTGGAATCTTCTTTCCTGCAACTTGAAGCCATTGGTCTGGGTCCTACCCTTTGGAGCAGGAGAAAACAAGCTTGCTCCATCATCCATGTGACAGCCCTTTAGATATTTGAAGATGGCTATCATATCTCCTCTCAGTCTTTTCTGAAAGGTTCTACACTTAAGCAGGAAGAACCAGATGCATAAATATAAGATGGGGGACAATTGGCTGGCTGGTAGTACACGGGGAACGGATTTAGGGGTCTTGGTAGACCACAGTCATCACATGAGTCAACAGTGTGATGCAGCACCCAAAAAAGCTAATGCTATTCTTGATTGCATCAAAACAGGTCTAGTGTCCAGATAAAGGGAAATAATAGTACTGCTCTATTCTGCCTTGGTCAGACCACACCTGGTGTACTGTGTCCAGTTCTGAGCACCCCAATATAAGAAGGATAAAGATAAGCTGAAAGAGGTGCAGAAGAAGGCCACCAAGATGAGGAAGGCTCTGGAAGTCAAGGCTTCATAAGCAATGGTTGAGGGAGTTGGGCATGTTTAGCCTCAATAAGAGGAGACTGAGACAAGATATGATAGTCATTTTCAAATATCTAAAGGGTTGAGGCCACAGTAGGAGAGGGGTGGGATGCAGCTGGAGAAATATCTAAGTGGGAGTGGCACCTATAAGTTGGGGGTCAGATCTGCTGCCCAGTGGATTGGGCAAATCCTGACACCTGATGTAGTCTCCTCACATGGCCTAATGGGCAGGCAAGCCCTGCTTTTAGTCAAACCCTCTTTTAGGGCAGGTAGCCATTCTTTGGGTGCTTCCAAAACATCAGGGACTTTGGATACAGATCTCTGCACCTAGCAGACAACAGAATTGTTTTGTAACCATGAAGGTCTGGTATATATTCCTCTGCAGGTCAATGTGTTAATGACATACTTGATCTCTGCCCCATGGATGAATTTATTGGTCAACGGAGGGACATCCCCCAAACCGCAACATACATTTTTCAAAATGTTATATATCTTAAGCATGAGCCACTCATAAAAAAACTAGTTTTGCTACCTTCTCCTGAAATTTTCCTCCTTTCCTCCCTGCTTTCTTGCAACTGATTTTACAGCTTTTTGCTTTGTCTCTCATTTTCAGGATCTTGTCTTTGGCTGGTTTTTCCCCTTTTATTATTTATTAAACCAGTGAAGAACATCAGAAGAGCCCTGTTGGATCAACCACAATAGGTCAGCTTCCTGTTCTCGGAGTGGCCAACAGATGCCTGTCAGTGAATACTGGTGCATAGAACCATAGCCAGGTGACTTGAGATTACCTGAGTTTACGAAAAAAGTGAATTAATTATACAATGCATATCTATGTCCCATCCCTGAAGCCAGTGAGTTAAGTAACTAGATGACACAGGACATCTTCCAGCCCTATGTGAAGATCCTGGGTATTGAACCTGGGATGTTCTACATGTAGTGCAGGTTCCCTGCCATTGGGCCATCACCCTTCTGGAAGCAGGAGGCAAGAGAGAATGTATGTTCAACATACAGGTCATCTGCAAGGGACCACAGGCAACATTTCCAATGTGACTCATGGGGAATGCAGAAATATCAAGGGGCAACCCCATGGATGCTCTGTGGGAGGCTACTCTCAGCATTCCAACTTGGTCTTAAACAGAGGTATGCTTGCTATGAGAGGGTCCTGTTTCTCTGCCCTCTTGCAATAAAATTCTGCATACCTTTGGATCTGGAAAGCAGCCAGGAAATGCTGCCCATCTGGATCCACAAGACCAGGTGTAATATATGCCCATGTGATTAGCCAGGATCTTTCAGGACCCAACTCTACAGCCCCTCACACCAGCTATTTAATAAATGGCTGCAGCGCTTCAGAGCACTAAGTAGAAGAAAGATGGAGCAAATCCTCTTGTTCCTACTGGTCTGCATTTGTGAGCAGGGGCTTTCAGCCCCAGCTCCAAACGGTGAGTATTGAACTGTTTGTGCTTAGTAATGGTTTCTTTTCAACAGAACATTAGTGTCTAGAGCAGGGGTGGGGGAAAGCCTTTAAATTTATATGGGTTTTTTTAAATTTTGCTATTTCATAAAAAATATCAAAGCAGTTATGGTATTTCAGAGGTGAATGTCATAGATCCTGTAGCGAAATAGCACAATTTGTGCACAAATAATCAGAAAATATCAAGAGGCTGACAGAATGTCCAAGGATCTCGCAGTACAAATAACAGAAATGTGTGGGTTGGCGTAATTAATTGGGAGGGAAAACAACACAGTGAGACCTAAGCTTGCTGAATGTCCATAGAACGTTGACTGATTGTTGAGGGTGTGGGGAATGGAAAGCACACAGGAGACGGAATAGAATGGCGTGTCATGCAGGAGGGTGTGTAGAGGATGGCACAGAAATATTATCTTTGCCTGACTTATACCAGGTGAGTCAATTTCTGACCAGCTTTTGCTGTAACTAGATGCAAAAACAGGTTTTTCTCTAAGAAATATGCCTTGGGAATAGGTTGGTGCAAGGATGCTGAACAACAATTAACGAAGTGAGAGAACTAACTAGCCATTTCTTTCTTCCTTCTAAAGAGGTCCATGGAATACTTCCCAAGAGCAAAACTAAAGGAGTTGATTTCTGTGGTGTAGACAAGTATTACTACATTGTCCGTTCCGACCTGGGCTGCTACTTGAGATCTACTGATTTCCATGCAGGGAAAGACCTGGAGATATTTGGTCTGCACAACTCTGTCCGTGGTGGAGACCACTATCTGGCCGATAAGGATGACTTTTTTTACATCATCAAGGGGAACTCTTACCGCCGAGTAACCAACCTGAACACTGACGATGATAGTAAGACCTACACTCTCCATCGCAACTGCCAAAACGGAGACCATTACTTCTCCTTTGATAAGTACTTTTACATTATATTCAAGAAGAGGGGGTGGTACCGCCGTGTCACCAATATGCAGACAGACGAAAATCCCATTGAATCTACTATTTACGCAACGCTCAAAGACGGTCTGTATTACTGGGGAATCAAGGACAAAATATACCTTGTGAAACCAAATAACAATTGGGGAGTTGAGTTTTACCGAGTCGAAGACATGCTGGGTAAAAACCCTTCCACAATTTCCTTCCATGCCAGTGTGCTCAACTTCCTCCCTGGAGGCGTGTCTATAAATCATGGTAAAGCTTTTGGTGTCTGGCAGTCTGTCAAAACCGTCAGAAATGATGCCAAAATAAGTGTTGCTTGGGAACAGCAAATTACTAAGAAGGTTGGATATGCGAAGAAAGAGATGCACAGCATGGAACACAACTGGAAAGTATCTTCGAGTGTTAAAGTTGGGGCAGAAGGTCTCACAAGATTACTCTTGGCAGCACAATTCTCCCTGTCAGCTCAATATGGCGGGAAAAGTATTGACAGCACAGAAGAAACATGGAGCGATGCAACTGATGTCTCTGAAAAAGTCAGCTTCACTCTGCCTCCGAATACCAACATTTATTTCTGGCAATACAAGCTGGGTTTGGGCAAGGATGACGTATTGTACTGCCGTGACCTGGCTTTTACTGATAATTCTAACCCACCTACTTATGTCCCATTGCCACCGGCAGCTGCTTAAGCCCAAATAACATAGCAATAGGCTGCCAATTCTTTCCTCTGGTTTATGGTACTTTAAAATTGTCTCTGTCCAGGCTCTTGTTCTTCACCATCTGTGTTTCTCTTTACCTGCTTTCCTTACTTTGGGGAAGGACCAAAGCATAATGGTAACACATATAATTCACATTCAGAAGGTCTCAGGTGCAGACTCTTTCTCTGAAACCCTTGAAAGCAGCTATCAGTCTGTATACGCCCAGTGTAGATTATACTGAGCTGGACGGATCAACAATTTGACTCTGTATAAGACAGTTCCCTATATTCCTAAATTCTAAAGCTCCAAGAATCAGAATGGACTGAACATCCATTACTTTTTAGGTGGGGTATGGCAGAATTGGTTGACAAATGAATGCAAAGAAACCTCTTTTGAGATCCTGGATTCCATGGAAAGATAGCTGCAGTGGTTTTTCTACCAGGGCAGCACTTCCAGTTTTGGGCTATGCCAAAAACGAATCACTTCATTTTCCCTAGTATTTTGTGGGTAGTTGGCTTGAAACAAAAAGGGGTGCACTTCTGGGTCTGCCACTTCCTCAGCCAGTGGTGGGTTATCCTTTAACCCACAGGCCAAATTTGGCTTAAAAGAGGTCCTAATTCAGCCCACAAATCTATTTCCAAAAGTTACCTGCCCTATAACTGATGACATATGTGGAAATTTTCAGAAGCCATAAAGCTCCTAGTGGTTGGCTTCTGATATTTTCAATTTACAGAATATTTAGTTGGCTACAGAGGAGTCCTCTTTGTCCTCTCCTGCTGGAAAACAAATGGCTACAAGGGACTGTGCCTTAGTGCAGGCCCAATAGTTACAATTTTTGATCTTACATAGAAATTATGCAGAGTATGATGCAACCCTTTCCTGCCTGTATGCTTATGGTTGCAGAAGTAAACATGTAAAACAGCACCAGTTTTGATTATCTGCTGTTAAAAAGGTAAAGGTAAAGGTAAAGGTACTCCTGCCCGTATGGGCCAGTCGTGTCTGACTCTAGGGTTGTGCACCCATCTCACTTAAGAGGCCGGGGGCCATCTGCTGTTAGGGCTCAACTAAATCTCTCAGCACCTCTCTCTGAGGGCTTTTCTTTTTCATTTTGAAAAATTGTTAAATGCATGCATTTGTTTCTGCATGCATATGATCAGGGAAATGATATGTTTAAGAAAAATGTCAATCATTGTCTTTCTCTTTCAGATTCTAATTCCTTCATTTGATATTTTTCCCTCAATATTTAGTAAAGTCTGGATCTGTTACTTTGTTTTTTGGAAATTCAAATTTGCAACTAGAGTCATCTCCTCTAGTCTGCTATTGGTTTCTTTTAAATTTTAAATCCAAATGGAGCAGAGTTGGCAGGCAGAAGATTCCTGCTTCTGAACATCAAGTCTGCTAGTTTTGAGGGAAATTGGACAGAGGGCTCTCATGACAAAGAAAAATGAATAGAGAAATGACATTGAATATACTTCATTGGTTGTGCAGAAAGGGGAGGAAATATGCTGCCAATCAGGAGAATGTTATCCAGTGTTTGTCAATGGTTGTTGGGCAGATTTTGCTTGGAAAAATCGTCTGGGAATCTTCTCAGCAATACTGACCGAGAATGGGTAATATTCATATGTCTGACAGTAAGAACCACTCAGCAGCTGAACCTCCTCCATTGAGGGTTTGATGGTCATTGGTCACAGATTTTTTTAGCTGTGATTCCTTCATTGCACAGGGTTCAACTAGATGAAGCCTGAAGTCCCTTCCAACTTCACAATTCTGTGATTCTTCTGCTTGGCAGATTATACTTCCTCACTGAGAAATCAAAGGAAATATACTGGAGGGCAGCTTCCTCTTTATTGCAGTGGTGAGGAAACTTTTCCAGCCTGAAGTCCATCTTCCCTTATGAGCACACTTCCATGACCACATGACAGCAATGTGCAAGGCCAGAGCCCAAAGTGGGGCTAGTCAGTGACAAAGGTTGCAAAGCAGCAAATGGGAATGTTACATTTGCATCACAGGATACCATCTAACACCTTCACCCATTCACCTTCACCCAGAGGTTGAATAACACCTGAAGTTTCAACCCATTTCATTATCTCTTAAATTGGGAAACATTACTGATGATGGCTTGATTGATTTCTCCTGGTGGAAGTTTTCCCAAACTGATGTCATGTAGCATGGGATGTATCATACCTCTGCTGTACTTGTTGCTGGGGAAAAATCAATAAAGCAAGGTTGGTGTTTCTGAAGTTCCTGTGTTAAACATCACAGTCTTTCAGCCCAGAGTTTGCTTGCCATTCACTGCAGAAAGGGATTCGAACTGAGGTTGTGTGGTTGTCTGGAACTGAGTAGCTTAAGACTCCCCCATGATAAACTCAATTGCAACAGGCAGTGTAGCCAGAAAATGTAAGAAATAATTGTTGCTGTTGGCATCCATCTGTCTTGAAAGACAATGAAGTGCACTTCCAGGGGTGAAGTAAAACCACTGCATTATCAGCACAGAACTGACCTCTCTGTGGCACAAAGCTGGGCAATGTGTATGGAGGTCCTGGGCTGCCCAGATGGGAAGACCCACGCCCTCGGCCTCGCTGATGTCGTCCAAAGGGAAGCGTACAGAGCACCATCCAAATGTCTTAGGGACTTGACTCAGGATTTGTGCAGGCTTTACTCCTTAACCTTATCTTCTCCCAAAGATGTCCTGCAACTCAGCGGGTAAGTGTAAGTGTTGCCATACTAAAATATTGAGTTCTGCAGAAAGGGTCTTAATAGGCACCAGTAATAGCAGCAATAGAGCTGCATTCAGCCCATTCGGCAGAGAAAAAGGTTTGAACTACTTATAACATCCACAGATGTGATCCAAAGGACTCCAACTCCCATCATCCTCAACCACTGGCCATCCTGGCCTGGGCTGATGAGAGTTGGAATCTATGAGAATCTCACGCAGAGAACCACATCTCCCATTACTCAAAGATGGTCCCTGGAGGGCTGCTCATGGGGAGATGTGGTTCTCTGTGTGGAAAATGGACCCCATCCCTGTTCTAAGCACCACATTATAAACAAGCTCTCACACCAGCTCAAATTAAAAAGGTAGCTGTGAGCGTTGCTCAGGTGGTGTTCTTTGGAGAGAGACAAAAACCCCATGACATTACGAGGCTCTTTTGCCAATGGGGGTTTCCAAGGCAAGTGATGGGCCCAGCAGCACCAGTAGAGAAAAACCCCTAGCACCCCTCAAACTGGGACAATCCTGCTAGGGAAGCCAGATACCCACTGGCTTTCTCACCAGCAAACTCTCAAGAGGACGTCTGTAGAAGACCTTTGCATGGCAAGCCATGCCCCCTTATGCGAAAGGAGACTCTAAGGAAAAACTTTTCTGAGAGTAAGAGCTGTTTAACAGTGGAACAGAGACCTTGAGAAGGTATTGGACTCTCCTTCCTTGGAGGTTTTTAAGCAGAGGTTGGATGACCATCTGTCATGGATGCTTTAGCTGAGATCCCTGCATTGCAGGGGGTTGGACTAGATGACCCTTGGGTCCCTTCCAACTCTACAATTCTGTGATTCTATACAATAACAATAATGAAGATTATAATAGGCACTAATGATGATAACAAAGACATTCATATATATCTATATCTATATATCTATATCTATATCTATATCTATATCTATATCTATATCTATATCTATATCTTTATCTATATCTATATCTATATCTATATCTATATCTATATCTATATCTATATCTATATCTATATCTATATCTATATCTATCTATATATATATATATATATTGCAACCAGCAGAATTAAAATGCAAAAGTTATTCTATGCTGTAACATGGCAAGTTGCCAGGGGATGGAGAAAGCTGCACATCTGAATGGACAAACCACTGCGAAAAAAGGTACAGGTAAAGGTACCCCTGACCGTTAGGTCCAGTCGCAGATGACTCTGGAGTTAGCGCTCATCTCACTCAATAGGCTGGCGACAAAACCTACCAACAAACAAAAGGCTGGACACAGAATAACAGCATAACAAGGAGAAGGGTTTAGTTTCTCAAGTTCCAATGAGCCCTCTGCACAAGCTTCTCCTGTGGAAAAGTTGCAAAGATCTGTCTGTTTACAATGGAATAAAGCATGCCAACAAACGCAAACTCACACACACAAATGAATTTTTCACTAACCTATTGCAGCTCCTTAGTGAAGCAAATGCACTCAGACATATATACATTTGTATCCCACCTTTCCCAGTTCAAACCATGATGTTTGGCTTACCACATGAAGAATTAGTTGTAATGACAACATAATAAAAATAATCATAAGCAATAAACAAAACACCCAAAAGTGAATAACCAAATTGTACGATTTTCATATAAATCGCAATAAGAGCTTTTTACAAAATTAATACATTGGTATCTTGGTTCTCAAACCTAATCCATTCTGGAAGTCCATTTCAAAACCAAAGCCTTCCAAAACCAAGGCACACTTTCCCATAGAAAGTAATGCCAAACAGATGAATCAGTACCAGACTTTAAAAACAACCCCTAAAATAGCAGTTTAAAATGAATTTTACTATCTAACGAGACCACTGATCCATCAAATGAAAGCAACAATCAATGTAAGGTAAAGGTAAAGGAACCCCTGACCATTAGGTCCAGTTGTAGCCGACTCTGGGGTTGCGGTGCTCATCTCACTTTATTGGCCGAGGGAGCCGGCATACAGCTTCCGGGTCATGTGGCCAGAATGACTAAGCTGTTTCTGGCGAACCAGAGCAGTGCATGGAAGCGCAGTTTACCTTCCCGCTGGAGCGGTATCTACTTGCACTTTGATGTGCTTTTGAACTGCTAGGTTGGCAGGAGCTCACCCCGTCGCGGGGATCCGAACCGCCAACCTTCTGATTGGCAAGTCCTAGGCTCTGTGGTTTAACCCACAGCGCTACCTGCGTCCCTCAGTGGTAATTCCAGAAGTACAGTTCTTCACACATTTCAGGCTAGCTGCCCACAAAACATTAGAGGAGATGAAGTGATTCATTTTTGACATACCCGAAATCTGGAAATGCGGCTTTTATAAAAATGTTACCCTGCAAAGGACGTATGGAGATACACTGGTTCTTTTAGCCAAATAAACACTTA